TCAAAACATGACCGGGACACCATCAAAACATGACCGGGACACCATCAAAACAGGACCGGGACACCATCACAACATGACTGGGTCACAATCAAAACATGATCGGGACACCATCCAAACATGACCGGGACACCAGCATCACATGACCCGGACGCCATCAAAACATGACCGGGACACCATCCGCCCACCAGCTCTGACGGTGACCCGACGGCGCCCGTCCGCCTATTAGTTTTGCAAGACCCCATAGCATGGCTATTGGGGAATAATATAAATATATATATGTGATATGTTCGGCTGCCAGTGCAGGCTACATTTTTGAGCAGCCCAATCGAAATTCAGTGAATATACAAAAACGCAAGCACGACATCACTTTAAATCAAGGGGCGTCGCAAGCTTGTCTTGGAGCTCTTCAATACCAGCACAAACACCTTGCGTCAAAAGAAACGGCACTAGGTCGAAACGGAACAGTCACCTTGGTCAAATCGACAAAGGCTGTCTCAGGCGTGAACTCTTCGTAGGATAACGGTCTGGATCGATGCCCTCCCCTTTGCGGTATCCGTTCACAATCACAGGAGCTACTTGCTCCTTCAGGACGGTAAGAACCTGCGGTGGAAAGAAAGGTATTGCTTGACAAAGGAAAGTTGGTCGTCAGTCACTGTTTGCATCCGGGATCAACAGCGATCATAGTAAAAAAGCCAAGGAACACTGCGTGAAGGATGATCTGGGATAGCGATGTGTGCAAAGGTCTCATTGGAAGCAGTTTGACCAGCACGAAACCTCGGTGGCAACTCCTAAAACTTACTTCTAGTAGATTCTTGTTTCTAGTAGCGATGCCAGGAGCCCCTAGTAGCGCCCTTGCTCCTAGTAGCGATGCCAGGAGCCCCTAGTAGCGTCCTTGCTCCTAGTATGCTTCTCATTGCTATTAGGTTGTTGGCCAATGGTGGCCATCGCTACTGATTCCTGATGCTTCTCTCATCATGCTTTCTGTCTCTCTGGATTTCTTGCTTCATGTTTCGAAATTGGCAGGTAAAGCCATGCTAGAGCATGTGCCATGCTGTTATGCTGAAGACACTTGGGACTGGTGAAGAGATTGTACATCGTCTGCGCATAGGTTGATGCTGCCTAAGCTTGGACAACTTGTGAATTTGGGCACCAACGTGCATATCATATCTGATGTCAAGCGACTCCCATCACTGCTGGCGTGCGCAACCTCACAATTCTCTTGCACGGCAATCAAACTCGTAATATGCTGGCCAAGTGATTGACTTAGGAGCAGCTTTCTATCAAAATGACTTTTGGGCTTAAGATGGACGCTACTAGGGGCTCCTGGCCTTACTACTAGGAACAAGAAGCTACTAGGGGCCTGGCATCGCTACGAACGGAGCGATCGGACGCTAGTAGGTTGGATTGACGCCAAGTGGCCTGAAGTATTCAGCTGCGTTGTCACACATTTCTTCCCAAGAGTCCGCAGTGATGACCGCCTAGACAGACGCGGTGCAACACGTACGCAGCTTCCACGCAAACTCGTCGCACGTCAAAGCCCTGCCTTTCCGAGCTGAGGGTCAGATGTGAAAGAAATCTCTCCAGGGGCCATGAGCTCTGACTTGATGTAGTCCAGCCTGTAACTTGGAACCATGAAGATTCTGCAGAAGAACATATGTTTCTTTCATGTTGTTAAAAATGTATTTCGTCCTTTCATTGTTTTCCTTGACTTTGTTTTTGCTTTTCACTTTGTCGTTGTTTCTATGGACCTTTAGATCTTTCCATTTTGTTCAATTATTTGTAGCTACTAGTAACAAATGCATTACTACCAGTAGCAAATAGCTTAAATAGCTACTAGCAGCTTCTTGTTACTAGTAATAGACTTGTTACTTGTTACCAGTAGCGATGGCCTCCAACCTAATAGCGATGGCCTCCGACCTTCTAGCTTCTTGTTACTAGTAGCGATGCCCTTGTTAGTATTGCGAGCCCTTTTGGATCACGGGCCTTGAGCCCTCCCGCTCGCCCTTGTCTCGGTCGCGCCTGGGACCGTTCATACCCAAGATGTTGCCAGCCTGCCCCGATGCAAACATCCAAGATGTTTCAAGCAAATGATCGTTCTAGGAGCGATGCCCTTGTTACTAGTAGCTTCTTGCTCCTAGTAGTAATGCCAGGAGCTACTAGTATCTTCTTGCTCCTAGTTGCGATGCCCTTTGCTCCTAGTAGCTTCTTGTTCCTAGTAGCGATGCCAGGAGCCCCTAGTAGCTTCTTGCTCCTAGTTGCGATGCCCTTGTTCCTAGTAGCCTCTTGTTGTCATTTCCAACTTCCACCAACAGCATCCAAGAACCACAAACCCGGCTTGAGGACCAAATTTGAACTCTAGCTGCTGTAGTTCGCATTCTCTGCCTGGTAAGTAATCTTCCCGTGGCTGTCAGGATTGCCATGCAGCCAGCGCGCATGAAGCACCACGTTGGCATCTGTGGCTGGTTCAAACTGAGGTGCGGGATATCCCTTGGCACCTCAACAACTCGCTGGCGAGTTGGACAGACTTCACCAGCTCACCAAGCCCACGAATTTCAAGCAGCCAGTCATTTGCTACAGAGCAAGGTCTTCGGAGAACAACGCAAACAACATGCCAAGTCTGCCAAGTACTTTTGTACAAGAGACGCATCATGAGCTCAGCAAAGGTGTATCGACGATTCCCCTTGTCATCACGTTGCAACAAGGCCAATGCTTCCTTGCATGGGGCTGGTGAGTGGGAAAAGCAACTACATAAAAACCTGCCATGCCACCGAAAGGCATTTTCCACTTGCGGACGACGGTTGCACTCAATGAAGGTACACTCAAATTCACCTCCAAGAATAGCGGGCTAGATCCAAACGGAGTTTTTGAACAAAGAACCCTACCAAGAATGTTTCATAAGAAATAGAAAGAAACGCATGGTTCAAAGCACAGGGAATATCAACTTTATTCAACTCCCAAGACAACACACCTCAAACTGAAACATCTTCAGCATCCTTAAAGTACAAGGGTACAATAAATTCCTAACCCAAAGGGTATTTTGCACAGAATGCCTCTTAAAGGAGCTTTTATCAGAAATGCTCAAAATCTGCTAAACAGTCTACTAGGTTGGAGGCCATCACTAGTAGGTTGGAGGCCATTACAATTACTGTAGATTCTCATTGCTATTAATTAGCTTCCCATTACAATTACGTTGGAGGCGACCGCTAGGTTGGAGGCCGTTTCTCTTAAGAATAGAAACCTCCTAATCCCCGGCCCTGGGCCATTGCTGCTTCAACTGACTTGGCCTTTCTCGTTCTTGAAGACCAAGGCTTCCATTGTCGCCCTGCCAATTGGGAACTCAAGTCTATCAAAACAAATGCCTTTTTTTGTACGTCTCAACTGCAAGAACGGTTGCTTTGACGGGATTTGCCACGATAAACCCATTACTTCCTGTCCTTGTGTTGTTGTTTCCCTTCTTGGCAATGTCTCCAGCCCATTTGCGTGATTTCTTGTAGAGTTCTTCAGGCCTTTGATGAGCAAACATGATTCCTCCTAATAGCGATGGCCTCCAACTCCAACCTACTAGCGAAACATCGCAACAAATACACATGGTGTATCCCATTGCTGCAGGAGTTGCATGAACATTGTGATCTTCTCGTCATTCAGTCCGATCTCTACAACCTTCAAATTCGCTGTATCAATGAAGAGTTGATGAATTGCATAAAGCTGAAGCTTTTGGAACTTTGAGAGAACATACAACACTTACAACACTGCCTGCCTTCTGCAAGGCGGAATTGAACCACACAAAACGGCCACCATCAGCGACTGTAGCACCATCCACCTGCCAGAAGAGAACACTGAGCCCTTTTAAGTCTTTAGGCGTGGCATGGCGTGGCAAAGCCATGTGCCTCAAGCTCGATCTGGAAAAAGCGCCCGTCGCCTTTGGTATTAACCTGAGGCAAAACTCACATGACCTTCTGTGCCGTGCGAAGAGTGAGTATATACTTTGGCCCTTTCTGATAGCGCATGCTTCGCACTTGCTGATTGACAAAACAAAGGGAGGCACTCGCTGTTCAAAGTAGATGCCATCAGTTCGATTCATCTCAGTGATCACCTTCTCGACGGCTCTTCGCACCTGCACGGAGAAAAACACTGGGCAATGCAGGTTCGAGGCCTTTTCAAGGGCAGTTGTAGCTATCAATGTATAGCGATGGCCTCCAACCTCATAGCGATGGCCTCCACCTACTAGCCTAGCTTCTTGCTATGTAGATGTCAATATTCACATCATATTCACATGCAGAATCCCATGGGTCCAGTTGGTTCCGAAATCTTAGGAGCAAGGAATTCTACGTTCGGGGCTCTTGGCCTTACTAGGAGCAAGTAACAAGTGCATCGCTTCTAGTAACAGGTGCCTTACGACTAGTAGTAACAAGAAGCTACTAGGAGCAAAGGGCCTCGCTACGAACGTAACAAGGGCATCGCTACGTTCGGGGCTCCTGGCATCGCTACTAAGGTGTCATCTTCGATCTCTGGGACCCATCGCATCTGGGACGGCGTTTGAAAAGGCACCTCCTCTTGTTACTGCTAGCTTCTTGTTACTACTAGTAAGGCACTTGTTACTAGTAGCGATGCACTTGTTCCTAGAAGCGTTTGAAAAGGCACCTCCTCTTCATTATCAGGATGATGAAGATGGGCGGTTCCCTTTCCACCTCCTCCATGGATAGACTTGATCAAGCCTTGGCTTAACACAAAGATGCTCAAGATAAACTTCAACTGCAAAGTTTGAGCTGTTTATCTTCTTCAACAGCTTCTGAATGAGTCCAGGGTTGTCAAAGCATAGCGGCGTGGCCAAACACTGTCAAGCAGCCCTTCTCATGGAAGTTCATGGCCAGGACTTTGTCAATAAACTCTTTCACGCAAGCCTGGAGACAAGTCCAAACAAAAGGAACGAAACTGCTACAAAACCTGAAAGGTAAAACCCGCATCTCTTGTCAAAGCCTTTTCCAACCAATGCAAATATGCAGAACCTATTCTACATATATATGTTTCGTTCAGGAATTTCTTGAGCAAAAAGCTACTAGTAGCTCCTGGCATTACTAGTAGCAAGGTGCCTCGCGACGAACGTAGCAAGGAAGCTACTGGAGACAAGAAGCTACTAGTAACAAGTGCATCGCTTCTAGTAACAAGTGCCTTAGTAGTAACAAGAAGCTACTAGGAGCAAGTGCCTTCTAGTAGTAACAAGTGCCTTACTAGTAGTAACAAGAAGCTACTAGGAGCAAGTGCCTT